TCTTTCTATGTTGCATGGTGTCTTATTCGCGCAGGTGTAACCGTTTCCTGAAAAAATGACCCAACAAGCCCAACAACATGTCATTCAACAAGCTTCGCTTGAAAACGTGCCTCACCTGTTATCTCACGCACGAAAACGCCGACGCAGCCGACGTTGACGAAAGCGACGAAAGCTTCTCGCTACCTTTTCCTTCCTCCGTGTTACAGTGTACTAGAATAGAGTAGAATAGTGTACTATTCTAGTAGAATAGAAAGAGTAGAATAGTGTACTAGAATACTCTATTCTAGTACACTGTACTCCGTGTGCATGGGCTTGTCGCTGGATGGATGGTGTTTATGACAGTACGGCTGAAGAAAAATAATCGCGTAAGGTGTGTTGAATAAATTGTTTTTGTGTATAAATAACATACCAAATTTGGGCGTATATTTATTATTTTGTGAAAAAAATTCTGTCGCATTGATTATAATTGTTTTTTTTTGTGCTTGCGTCCTCTGACGTTTGGTGAGAGCACTAGTTCGTTATATAGTTCGTTACGTAGTCGTGACGCACTTCCTAAGGTCAGGTTTCGCCAACGTTACTAGACTAGGTTCAGTTGCCAAACTCTCCGCCGACGCCATGTTTCGCCGGTGTCTCCACTTTCAGTTTGTTCGACAGGCGGCGGGAGCGTTCCATCAAGATCCAGCTTTCTCAGCTGCTGCGCCTGCTAGGCGCTATACGGGCGCCGAATTAGCGCATTTCTTCACGCGTAACCAGACGGAAAACTACAAAAACATCACTGCAACACATCCTAGCCACTGAAGCTCCTTTTATACTTGTATCAAAGCATGTAGCGCGACATGCTTTCGAGTAACGAGTTCGAAGCTGCCGGAAACCATCTGTCGTTTCGCTGCTTTTGCGCATGCCCTGCTTTTATTACTATCCGAAAATGCGCCGTTGAGAGAGAACACACATGCTGCATTAGTATTGCGTCCGATTCATGCGGAAATAAGAGGTGGCATCCCTGCCCGTAATCATGACGCGAGGGGGGGGGGGGACCGTTTTATCTACCGGCGATGGTAGGATTCATTTAGTTCCCAGCGGCATCTTCGACCATCTGGACTAGTGACACAAGGCCTGCGTAAGCGGGTCTGTGGTGAGCATCGCGGCCTCCCACTGCTTCTCATTCGTGATTTGGAATAAAATGGCTAATAGTTTACAGGGGTTTTTCTTCGCAGGGCCAAATCACATGCAAAGTAAACGCTTATTCATGCATCTTGGCAGGCACAGAATGACCACTGCAACTAGCAATTTAGCACGAATTAAAAGTTAACAAGGTAAACAGCTTTCGTTCAGCGGTTTATTCATAAATGCACTGGTCTTCCATTTCAGACCACACTGATCAACAGTACTGTACAAGATGTTTTAGCAAACCGGTCCACAACACTGAATAACAAACTGGTCCATGAAAGCAACATCCCAGCAATTGTTTGCATTGCTGCAGTCCAGAGAAAGCACATTTTTTCTAACAGGTATTCACAAAAGCTTAGCACGCTTCTGGCAACTTTGATTGATTGATATGTGGGGTTTAACGCCCCAAAACCACCATATGATTATGAGAGATGCCGTAGTGGAGGGCTCCGAAAATTTTGACCACCTGGGGTTCTTTAATCCTGGCAACTTTAACTTGCACACTTGTGTCTTTGGGTTGCCGTAGGAATCTTGCATAAAAATGCATGCGGGTGACCAGGTAAAACTTCATGATGCGTGCAGAGAGCTCTTCAGAATGAACACCACATCCGACTTGTGCAAGGCTGTGTACTTGTGTCAAATCTTTGACAATGCACCAAAACAGGTCTCCAAACGCTACGTTGTCCCTTGTTCTTTTCGTTATGGCGCTCTCAACATCGGTAAGAAGTGACGTCAAATCTTTTGATGGCAGCTGGAGGGCACCCGGAACAAAAGACCGCATCTCTGTCAGAATGGCTGCAGATGGTACGTCATCAGTAGCAAGAAGAGTAGCCTTACAGTCCCCGCAGCTCGAAAACTTTTCTGCTTTCTTCACTACGTATCCTGCCAGGTAGTACAGAGCAGCATCGTGTGTAGTTGGTTGACCATAGTCGTGCTGGTTTGCATCCTCTTGTTGAAGTCCACTCCTTCTCCCAGCTTGATTTCATCCAGCACGAGCGTACCACACTTCTCAACATCACGCATGCTTGAAAAGAATGCCTCGAACGCTTTCAGGACCACTTGATTGTAACCATACTCACAGGGTACACCTAAAAGCACCTGGTTAAGTCGACTTGTAGTTGGTAAGGGAAGCAAATTCATTTTGCGTATCAAATTGTAGGCTTTGGGGCTTGAAATGTGGAGAAGAAGGCAGTTCAGCACCAAAATTCTGGTGTATCACACACCCTGTGGTCCCTTTGCTTCCATTTGTTTCAGAGACATCTTGAATGCTAGTTGTTGAAGAGGCGGAAGTGACATTAGATGCTCATTGATTGATGAGGATCTTTCGCTTGTCAATTTCTCTTGTAGTTCTGCCATATTCTTCATGAAAGACACTCTCGCAGCAGCTGCCCTGATGGCTTTCTTTTGAAGGTTTTTCACCTTTTTCTGTTTGCACACCTGCCTTTTTTGCTTCTGAAAATTCTTTTTCAAAAGCCTGTTTTTTTTCAGTTCGGCAGAATGAACACGTTGACTGCTTAGCTAGTGCCTGGCATCTGAGTGAAAAACCAGTGCTGCTTTGCACGTCGTATCCGGAGCATGCATGAAGGCTGTGCACATTGTTTATCAGGTCACTAAGATCTAGCATGGTCTTAATGCTGACACTCAGAAAAGCCTTCGCCTCGCGGCCTCTCGCACTTGCAGTTGCCACTCCACTGCTTACAACGACGCACTTTTCGATTTGCGGCGCCTTATTGGCGGAGGTCAGTGTGAAAAATGCCACAAATTTACCGCTGCCGTTTTCCACAGTGATTCTTCGCCACGATGGTGGTAGCTCAACGCATTCCATTTCAGCAAACGACGGCGCGGATGGCTCGGGCATATCGTCGACCACGACATCGGCAGGAATTGTGCTGCAAGAAGCTTGTGACTGCGGTGATGCTGTTCCTTGGTCAGCGTTTCCATTGCTTTCTCACTGCCGCTTCCGCCTCTTCTCCGCTGGCTTTGACAAGTACGAGGGCAAGTTCGGGAAGACTTTAGGAAGGGCACCCTCGACGAGACTCCACTTACCCCTCGGGATTTCAACAGTTTCTCCGCTGATCACGTGCACTTACGTTTTGCGAATGTCCTGATCGTGAAAGTGGATAAAGCATACCCTAGACTTCGTTGTGAGGTCTTTGTCTGCGCGGGGTATCACCCTGTTCCAAGCTGCGCGAAGTCGCTCGTCACTGGGAGCGGAGAAGAAATGCCGGACCGACGGGCTAGTGTCGTTCCGGTACCCGCTTGTACAGCCAGGTACGCAACACGTCGGCATGATGTGGTCGGCTTAAGAGCACCCAAAGTCACCCACAGCACTGCATCGAACAAGGCAATCGATACGTTCAGGCAAACACATCGGTCTGAAAACACGCACCACACAAAATCACCCGGGAGTTAGACCGGCGACTGTTCAAACTGGCTGCGCAGCGCGGCTGGCGAGGCGAAATCCGTGGAGCCGGGTGCGACTGCAGCGCCAGTGGGCGCAGTATCGGTGGCGGTTCGGCGCAACGCAGCGAAGTTTGTAAACTAAACCTATTCTAGTAACGTTGGGTTTCGCTGAGTGTCCTCTCTTGTCTTTTTTTTTTCTATGCTGCTATTACTAATATCAAAGCACAGAAGTGCATAAAAAGCGAAACGTCAGGTGACAGCTCATGCTAAGGTGGCGACATTTCGCGGCTGTCGATACTAACTGCGTCAGCCATGGGCCATGGCTTCTCCCTGAACACACTACCCCATAATTTAGTACGCTATATTTACAGTGTACTAGAATACTGTACTATATACTATAATATATACTATACTGTACTGTACTATATTGGCGGTCACTGGGAAAGCGGCCGTCGTCGGAACTATGGTAAGTAGGGTTGTCTTCAAATAAGTTTTTACGTTTTTGGAACTGATATGCAACAAAAATAACGTAAAAATTTTAAAAAGGCGTAAACGTCATTATAATTAACTCTACGTACGTGACGCTGTTATAGATGACAGGCGTTTTGCGCACATTCAACAGGCAACTCCTTCAAACAAGGCATAGCCTCTGAAATTAGTAGCACACGTCAAAATTGCTTATCTCAAAGGTCAAGTACAAAGACCCTTACTTCTACGTAGGTAGCGCCGCTATAGACGAGTAGCGTTTCACGCTCATCCGACGAGCAAAAGAAATCTAGAAGGCTATGGCAATGATGATAGATGAATGGATATGGCTGTACCCTTTAGATTGGGTGGTGGCTAGCGCCACTAAGCCGTAATACCTAATGAACCAAAAACTATATTTTTTTTCTTAAAAAGTGAGTTTGAGGATTCGTACTTTGCAGTGAAGAGTTTAATTTTCACTCGTGCCTTGACTTTAGCCACCAATTAGATAACCTCCTTCTAGTTAAGTCTACCCGCTTAAAGTTTAATTTGCCCTCCCAGTCCCTTAACCCCAGTGCTTTGAAAAACTCTGCGCCATCATCCTGAACTATAGGGTGAAGCCATTTACAGAACAATATTAAGTGTTCGGAAATTTCCTCTTTCTCTCCACACGCACTGCATACCGTGTATACCCCTTCATATTTGGCCCGATATGTCTTGGTTCGCAGTGCTCCCGTCCTGGCCTCAAACAGTAGAGAACTACCCCGAGTATTATAATAGATCCTTTCCTTGGCAATTTCCTGCTTAAAAGTTCGATAGATCTCTAGTGCGGACTTCTTAATCATGCCCATTCTCCACATGTCAGTCTCCGTTTCCTTCACTTTCTTCTTAACCGATAGTTATTTTTGGTTTGGCCACCTGCTGTTTTCTAAGTATTTACCAGTCAACTTCCTGGTTCGCTTCCTCCATTTTGTATCGACATTCTTCATGTACAAGTAGCTGAAAACCTTCCTCTAGCCCAACGCTCTTCCCGGAATGATAGGATGAGCAGCGCCGTCTCTAGGTCGAATAAATTAGTTTACATCGCCACCGCTACCTTTATTTTCGTTTCTTTGTCAAAGGTACAGTGTCCCTTCTCTAATTTGAAGAATGTCGTGATAGACCCACAGAACACCTAAATAGACCCATTTTGCCCATTTCCTTTCTCCGTGGATTGTTGCGTTGTGTCGTGTGTTGTGTAGATGTTCTCCCTAGTATCTCGGTGTTCTGTGCTAGTGCCACAGTGAGGTATTGACCTAGATGTTTCAAGCTTAAAATCATCTGCGCCTGTGGCCGACCGTCACGGCTGCCAAGACAGCCGGCTTAGCAACGGCACCAAAAGTCCGCGATGATGCCGAAAAAGAGAGAGGCAGTGAAGAGTGAGAACGATGTGCTCCGCGTGCTACCACCGCACAAGCGACACAAGAAGCACAAGCACAAGAAGCACAAGCGCAAGCGCGGCACGGACCAGGAGGAAGAAGCACTTTCGCCACCCGTGAGCCCGCAGAGCGGAGGAGATAATGGAGGCAAGCCTGCTTTGAAGCTCAAGATCAAGATCGGTGGCCAGCAAGCTCTAGAGAAGAACGTCACCCGGGCGGCGGACGAGCCGAGCCTCAGCCACGGCAGCGATGACGAAGAGGAGGCCTGGCTCGAGGCCCTGGAGTCCGGCCGCCTCGAAGAGGTCGACGACGAGCTCCGCAAGATGAAGGACCCGACGCTGATGACGGCGCGGCAGCGCGCACTCCTCGAGAGCAAGTCTAAGGACAAAGATGAGGACGGCCCTCCCGCCGTTCAGGTAAATACGAATTTTCAAAACCACATTACAATGCTGTTTTATGTGGCTGCAGTCTGGAACGTAATGCTGCTTCACAAAGTGACGATACAAATGTGCACGTTTTCTCCTACTACTTTACATTGGGCGTTTTTTCTTTGCATTCCAGATTTTGTGCCTATGTTAGTTTTAATGCGACAGCATTAAAGAGCTCGCTTCGCAAAGGTTCCGGTGATGGCGACGGCTTTGTTCGTTGTGAGCGAATGATCATGCTTTTGATTGTGACAAGAAAAATCGAGAAAGATGCAAGTAAAATAAAAAAATAGACAGTAGACTCTCAGTAAACGGATTAAATGCAACTACTGCTTAAGCGGAACTATTGCCTCTGCAATGCTTGGTTTTGGGCTTGTATTCTGCACCCATGTTCACCTCTCAGTAAAGGAACTCCTAATAAAGGAAACATATTTTCCTGGTGCCTTCAGGTTCCCTTTACTGAGAGTCTACTTGTCCGAGCGAGCGTAGAGTTTTTCACAATAATACTTATAAATCGGGCGCCACCGTCTACGTGAATTTTTCAGAGGGACCGACAACTGTCCAGAACATGCAATTATATCCTAAGAAATGAAAAGAGCTGAGCTACATGTACCAGCATTCAGAATAAACTTGAAGCTGTAGTCCATCACTTTGCTGACCGTCGTCTTGTAGCCTGATGCTGTCGTGCGTGTAAATTCTCAAAGGGAATTTTCAATGGGAATGCGGATTGCACTCATGCGCAGTAAGCCAACGCCCTCAAACATGAACTGCCCATATGCTCGGTGTTTGCAGCATGTGAGCGCATGACTTCATATCGACTACAGATATAAAACTCTTGATTAGAAATGTTGCGCGGCGTTTTCCATACCATTCCGGAATCGGACTAACTGATAGTAAGATTTCTTTTGCACTAAGAAAAATAGGCGCCATGAAAAATGTTTGTCCGTCTCTTTAAGGGGCGCCTTTGCCGCAATGGTGGCTAGAGGGGGAGGTGTCACCATCGAGAAGGGGGAGGGGCTACGCTGTTTTATTCGGTGCCCCACTGTGTCTCTGGGAGCCTAGGGCGAGTGTTGCTGTAGCAATTGGTGCTTCGCGCGAAATCTGAATTCTCTAGTCTGCGATGCGGTTATGGCATGTTGTCTACTAAGGCGAGAAATGCATCGTGCGTTTCTCGCAACCGACAGACATGTGTCACATTTTTGGTAAGCGAGAGGCCCATGTCACAAGTACTGACCGATAAACCTGTGTTGCATCATTCGCGGGCCATAAACGCATGTCGCGTTATCAAAGCCACCATATGCGGTGAACACTATGAAACAGCTTTTGGCCAAAAGTAGAACAAAACCCCATCCCGCCAGCACGTTGGTGGGACATTGGGACACCAACACTACAATCGCGACATTATCCGTCTTAATCGAGATGTAGCGATTTCAGGATAGTTGGACGGATGGACAGACAGGGAGTACCCTAGCACTCGCAGAAGATTACCAAGAAATGTATCGCATTTATTATAAAAATAGCAATAGGCCCTGTAAATGACCACCCACTGTATAAGCCGAGATGCACTGTTTTGTAAGTGTTGCACTCCACACACAGCTACAGCAGTAAGAAACAATTACAAAAATTCTTGCAGGGCCAACCTCATTGATATTTTTTGCATAAACTCACCATAAACATTTCTTTTATATGGCTACAGTGCGTCCTATGAAGTTGTGGATGCAAAAAGGGGCCACATGTCTATGCGAAATACCCCCAGCGCGTTTCAAGACCTCAGCCAGCACACGGATGGCATCTTTGAGTCGAGAGACATGCCGCTGTGGTGGCGCTATTGTCGACTCCAAAAGCCGTCGGTGCATAGTCCTGAAAGAATACTGCGTCTCCAGAGCACCGTTGCTGACACCTCCCCCTCTAGCCACCATACTGTGATGGTAATGAGGGTACAATGTTGCAAACTCCTCAATAAATTTACCGCTAGACCCATCTTCAAAAACGTCTAAATTTAGAGTAAAAAAAGCTGTATAATAAATTTGGCAGAAAACGACAATAAAACATTGTTTCACTTTCATTAAAAAGTGAAACCAGAAGGTTTGTGGTATTCACTTTCATTAGAAAGTGAATATCACACTTAGCGCCATTTGTCGCTAAGGTGCAGACAGTGCAGCCCGTCGTATGCACGTTGCTGGTGTTGCATCTGCAGCTCTAAGCTGTATTATTGAAATGTGTGCGCTATTTTTGCCGTGTTAGTGGATGCCACTTGGAACCGCAAAGACATGATACAACGGGAGAGGCATCAGGGCAGGCAGAAAATATGCTTTGTGCCGAAGTGGCTATCGCACAAATCCCGGAAAAGGTGTCTGTGTTTCCTGTGCCGTCGGACGTGACTTGCGGAGTGGGAGCGGCTCAAGCTGGCCCAGACATGTGTGTTTTGTGAGAAGCATTTTGAGGACGTCTACCTAAAAGAACCTTTAAAGCTACAGCGGGCGTTGTCATCAACGAGGTCACCAGGAAGAGACCGCGCCTGAACCCCCACGCACTACCAACGGTATTTGACAACTACCCTAAACACCTTCAGCCTAAAAAGGAACTAAAAGGAAAGTGCGAAATATTTGTGACCATACCATCGCTAAACGGCAAAGTGCAGTGCTGTTACAAATGTCAGCAGTGGGTCATCAAGCATACACTGCAGGGCCTGTGTTGCAGTGTTCAGTCCACCATGCTTCAAGCTTGGTGCTCAGTTACGCGGCTGTGTTCATGTCACCGTGCTTTAAGCTCAACACCCGTACTGCAAGTTTTCAATCTATGCATCATGGACTATGTTGACCGAAGCACCAATTGGCTCTATTGTGTGTGCGTTATCAAGCAGATAACAACGTTGCTGCTCTATTTTTTGAAATAATAATGACATTTTCAGCTGTGATGCCCAACGTGGTTCAGTACTGGCTACAGCATATTTCCATGGAAAGGAAAGTGGCAAGCACGTGCCTAGGAGAACAATTAAAACTGAAGAATTGATCAAGAAATCTGCATTGCAGATTCTGTGTGGGTGGCCTGAAACCGGATTCGAAAAAGCTTGCCAAATTAAGGCAACTGTATTTTTCTGAGAAGTGTCAACTTAGTGTTGATAGCTGCACGCAGTGCAAATATCTACGAAGGTACGTGTAAAACAGACTGCGCAGGAAAAAGCACGCAACACACTGTCAGTCCGGAACATGCTCTAAACAATCAGTCAATGCATCTTATGCAAAAAAGAAAACTGGCTTCTGTGCAGCAGCAAGTGGCTTGCATGAAAGCCCAGAATGGGGCACTGAATGAATCAGCAGCGCAAGGAAGGGTAGCAACCCTCCTCAAAAGCAGCAACTTGCTGTGAAGATCTGCTTTCTCGCTGCCCAACGACAATCTGTGAAAGGCATGTCATACAATGAAAACTGGATAGTCGAGTGCCTTTTGATGCGAATTCGCAGCCCGAGACTCTATGAGCACCTGCGCAAGGGAAAGATATTCGTTGTACCGTGGTGAGCTTGTTAGCAAAAATACGTACAGTGGTTTAAAGGCAGTTTTAGACTTAATTCAAATATATTTTCTACTTCGAAAAGACCAGGGAGATGGATTCTTTCAGCCGCCACGAGGGCCTTTTTATCTACTAGTCTTGAGCAAACTATCTGTTCGCGATTGACAATTATAGTAGCCGCATGATGCTGCATCATATCCAGTGTGACGAGCCGCTAACAAAATAACATATCTTGATGACTGAGCATTGTGAATAGCACTTGACTAGATCGAGGTCAAGTAAAATCACTGTGTTGGAAACAAAGCGAAACGGCCAAGACTAAGACTAAAAAAAAACACACACAAAACAGAGGCGACGCTGTTCAGTTTCGTGTGGCACGGTTTTTAATGCAGTAAGATGTACCAAGTGGCAGCCAGCTTAATCCTTAACACCCTTAATCAGAAAAATTTCACTATGAACGTTTTTGTGTAATTGCAAAAAAACAGTTTTATTGCTCGCAATCGAAATTGCCGTGAGCCAATCTTATGACACGACTTCTCGCATCTAATGTGTCAGATTTAGCTTATTATTTTCAAATGTCGTAAGCCGTAGTACACTCAATGTGGTTCCTCGTATTTGGCTTTGGTCGTTAAAAGCACTGAATCGCAAAAACAAGCATATGATTTGAGTTACGTGTGTGTGAAATGCTTCGAATCTTGGGGCAGTTATTTGGCACTAAGACTTTTTTTCCGTCTGGTCAAATGTTTTGTCAAGTGTGTTAAAAGCAATGAAAAAGACTGGATACGCTGCAGAAAGTGCTCTGCTTTGCTACTCATAGCGCAGGACTCGCCGACGCACGGTGGACCTTAGAGAGCAGCAGCGCCACCCTGTGGTGACTGTGGGAAGGCATCAGCGCGGCGACCATGCGAGAGCGTGTGCTCAGCACACTAGCCAGTATATTCTAGGCACTGTAACGCAAGGTTTGTGTTGGCCTATGTTGAGCAAGATTACGGCTAAGAAACGCATACGACACCGCAAATAAAGCTTCTGTACATCACGACTTTTATAAGCAGATCTCATTCGCACATATTGCATTCTAGAATAAAATTCCTTTCACTTCTACAGCATAACCAAATAGCAAAAGAAAGAAACAGACGTCAAGCGGACACAGAGCAAGCTCTGGCCTGTCGTCTGCCTGCCAAGTTCAGTGGGCATTCATAACCTTGTCCGTATTGTAAAGTTATACATCAATGCAGAAGTGTGTACCCCTGGCTATGCCACTGGCCGTCATGTCATGTGCCCCCTTGCTACGCCACCGGTTGTCATGTTTTGTGTAATGTCCCAATCAATAACATCCCCCGGCGCATTGTGTTTTACACGCGATAAGAGCGGGCGAACGGGGGGCGAAGAATGCGGCTAAAGCAGAGATAAGAAGAGCTGACCTATCTCCTTTGCAGTGAGGACGAATGCTATAACATCAACCTGCGTGCCAGGCCTCTCGATT